TGCCATCCTCCTGTCTCACCTCCCCCCTGCCTTGCTGCAAGCAGCCTTTCAAGGCCAAACGCAGGCTGGTGGGAAAGCAGCGAGCTGCACAAGCTACATGTTCCCCCCTCCCCTACCCAAAACCCCAAATAAAAATCCCTACCCATTCCTCATCGAGGAGCTAGCAATTTTTGAGGCATGAGCCCTTGCTTTGCTCCCTGTGCCTGGCATAGTAAAAACCTTTCCTCTTCCACTCAAGACTCTGTTCTCGTTATTTGCATTGGCATCGGGTTCAGAGACCGAACTTTCGGTTACAAGGTTGCTCAACCCTGGCTTGAAGGAGATAAAAGTTGCTCACGGTTATAGAAGCAGAATAAAGGCACTTATGGGCAGAGTGGGAGGAGAGCAAGTTCCATTTACGTTTCTTGTTCTCAAATTCCTGGGCAGTTACTTGGGCCCATTGCAAAAATGCAGATCTTCCACGGTCCCCAGAAATTCCAAGTCTGAAGGGAGATCTGGAATCTGGCTTATTTTAAACAGCATCAGGGCTGATGCTGAGGCAGCCTCCTCCTCCACAGTCCCCGGACCTTGGATTCTCACAATAGAAAATCGTTCCTACAGCCTCCTGTCACTCCAGCAAGGAAAGTGTCCACTAAGGGACCTTCCTGTTTGAATCCAGCTCCACTGGGCCCGGTAGCACATGACCGCTTAGAAAATGCCCAGGCGAAAGCCCACTTGCGTCTCTGTACCTGACCTCTGCAGGTGGACGCAGCCACTTGTGTTGACCATGGGGCTTAAAAACACAGGGGACAAAATGTAAAGGAGAGAGTGGGGCAAAGAGGGAAGGAATGAGGAAAGTCCTGAAGAAAGGAAGAGAGAAGAAAAAGGAAGAACAAAGCTAAAGGGGAAATAAATTTCAAAAGATGTAATATTATTGTTTCTAACCTTTATTTTCCCCTTCTATCTAGTTTCTCATTTATTGACATTTGACTTCAGCTGTTTGATCTCTCTCTGAATGCATAAACAGATGGCTATTGTTATTGAAGGAACATTTGAGAGAAAGTTGTAGATCAGAATTCTTTTCCTCCAGGTGTGTCAGGGTGTGTTTCTCAGCAACAAGAACATGGTTTTGTTTGCTTTGTTTAACTAACAAAAGTACAAATTTCAAAGAGGATAATATTTTTAAAATCAACTTCATTGGGGCGTATTTTACATACAATATAATGCATCTATTTGGAATGCACAGCTCGTTGAGTTCTGGTGATTATCCATACCCACGTCACCATTACCACAGCGAAGATGTAGGACATTTCCATCCTCCCCAAAGAAAGGTCATGTGATAAAATTCTTTGCAGCCAATAAAAGGCATAGGATAGATTTTAATGTATTGCTATGAAAAGGTGTATCCAACACACTGTTAAGCTTTGTAAAAGATTAAGAACAAACTGAATTATAATGCCACTAATACCACTTACATAATGCATGTTTTAATTAGGGTAAAATCTAGATTCCTCACCAAGGGTTTGACAGTGATATCCCCAGGGAGTGGGGTAACTTGGTGACTTTCACTTTCTCTGAATTATTGGAAATTTATCTTTTAGTATAAATTTGAATTTGTATGGGAGTCAGAGAGAGAATATTTCAGTTGTAAAATATTGTGAACTAAGCCCCAAACTCAATAAGTTGCAGATTTTTAAAAACCAAAATGTTAATTAAAACCTAACACTAGATAACTCCTTTAAGATAATCCTTCACATTTTGGTAGCACTCAATGTTTCTTAAATTGTTTCTGAAAAGGATGTTTTTAGTGGAGTACACAGACAAATCACAACTATGACAAAAGGTATCTGCTAGAATCAAAATAAGTGTAAAATCCAGTGCAGGCACCAGGGACCCTGTCACAGTAACACTGCACCATGTTCAAAACCCATGTTGCCATAGCGTCCTGGGGTCTTAGACAAAGTCAGGGCAAATCTTGTTCCCTGAGCATCAATTTGCTCTTGAGAAAGGTCAAAGGCTTTCGGAGCAAGTCTGAAGATTGACACAGACTTTCTGATCTAAAGAATTTTCAAAACTGTTTGGGCAAAGGCAGTATCGTAAGATAATCCAGCCCATCCAGACGATGCTCTCTCGAGCTCACCGGGTGGCAGCAGCCGCAAGGAGAGGATGCAGAGAAGCAGCACCAACGGGTCTGAGGCTGCAAGGGGGTTCCTGGGTCCAGTGTGCCAGCTTAGCTTTTCTCCAGTGAGGGGTCGGGTGGCGGCGGGAAGGCAAGGAACTCAAGCAATAACCACAGAGAAAGGAATGGCAGAAGGAAGTGCCCCAAGCCTCTATACCCCTTCTTCCTCCCCTCACCTTGCACTCCCACCTCCCTCAGCCCAAACTGTAGGCAGAGTGCAGGGCCTTGTGATGGTGCCTGGCTCCCATCTTCAAGTGACTAGTGATGAGTTCAAACTGGGAGAAGACTGTAAAAGTTATCCTTTGAAAAATAGGTTCTTATTTCCCACAGTGGCTTATTTACCAAATTCATTTTAATAAAATACAAAAACAAAACAAAACAAAATTCTGCTGCGATTTTTCTGGCCAGTAGAAGGTCCTGTGCTCTCCCCATTCCTCATGGGCTTCAGGCCTCCCTGCACTGAGGCTCCAAGCTCCAGACCTGCTGCCATCAGGCCAGGCCCCTCTCCTCCTGGACTCCCTTCACCTCCCGTCAACCCCTCTCTGCTTTGTCTCTGCTTCCTCATCCTTTTCCACTCCCTAGACCTGGCTCCTGAATATCTCTCACCTTCTTCAAAGGCTTCCTCCTCCTGCCTACAAAGTCGTCCAAATTTTCAGGGAAAAACAAGCACAAATGGAGAAATCCTGCAGGACACCTGGAGCTCCCAGTGTGGACATCAGCCTCCACTTCTAACCACCCCTCTCTCTCTCTGTGTAAATGGAGAGTCAAAGGCCTTAACCCAGCATCTCAGAAACCTCCTCACTTTGGCATTGCGTGCAAGAGTTGGTGTTATGTGTGTAAACACTTTTGGGACCCGTCTTCCTGGTCTAACAGGTGAATCTAACAAGCAAGCTGGGTAGGCTTAAAGTCAGTACAAAATCCATGCTGCACTGTGAAGCAGCCATGCAGGCCATCCTAAGCCTGTGTTAGAATGACTTCCATCACTTTGTGATAGAAGACACCAGCTGGACAGATCTACAACAGAAAAAAATAGAGGGTACCTTGCTCTCACATTTCCCAGCTGCATTTCTTAGAGACTGAGTGAAAAAGTAAAAACCCTGGTCCTTGCCTCCGTCTACACATGGATAACATCAACACTCCAAGCATTATTTGATGTATAACCAAAAAGTTCTTGTTTATGTTATCCTTTAAATATATGACTATTAGGTGTGTAAGTCCTTTCCTACATGTACAGTGCTTGGTTAAAAAGTATGCAAACTGCACTCAGATCTGTAGACCTCAGAGCGGTTCCTCAGAATACTCTGTTGGACTGTTTCCCAGGACTTGAGTTCCTCACCTTGATTATTAAATAAACTCCTTTAGTTAACCTTTACCTAGACTCTTTATTTCAGGAGAAATGTGCACATGTGCTTTTATTTCAGGAGATGAGACTTGACATTCATCAGACCAGCAGACTCTAAAGACCCCCCTTCACCCAGAAGTTTAAAGCACTGTGCATTTGGGAGGAGGGAGAGCGTGGGGGAGCTGCTGACTCCAAGTCTACTGATCACTCCTACACAAAAGCATACTGAAAAGAAGTTCAGGACAGTCCATCCCCTCCAAGGACCAGGCAGGAAAGTCAGAGCCACCTGGAATGGATGTCAAAGTCCATTAAAGAAATATCATTACAAGAAAATCCCTATATCACACTTTGAAGCTCACACAAATGATCAGAAACCAAAATCCAAGCTCAGGTGACATCACTAAAGTTGGCTATAAGGCTTTGTAGAACCTGCATGTACACAGAAAGACATCTCTAGGGCTGCAGCCCAGTAGCCTCTATGTTTTGGGGTGCCCAGAAAGGATCTTCTCTCTTCAGCAGTGCTGAAGAATCTCTATGGATGTAGAAGCTCTTTGGGTTTCTGAGGTTTTTATACTTATTTGTTGACTTTGTAGTTGTTGAGTTCATCTTTGAACATTTTGGAATTAATTTGCTTTGACCTTGTCTAAGTGTGAAATCTGAGACTGCTTCTGAAGCAGGAAACAAGGGACTGGCCCTCTGAGCCACGGCCCCATGCAAAGGTTAACTTTCTGTGTCAACATGGCTAGGCCACAATATCCAGATATTTGATCAACATTTTTCTAGATGTTTCTGAGAAGGCATTTTTTATATGAGATTAATATTTAAGTAGGTGGAGCTTGAGTAAAGCAGATTACCTTCCATAATGCACGTGAGCTTTAGCCAATCAGTTTAAGGCCTTAATAGAAAAAAACCCTGACCTCCCCCAAGAAGGAGGAACTTGTGGAGAGACTGCTTTCAGACTTGAACTTCAACACCAGCTCTTCCTGGGGTCTCTAGATGGTGTCCTACCCTATGCGGCAGATTTGGGACTTGACAGCTTCTGCAATCACATGACCCAACTCCTTAAAATAAATCTCTCTCTCCCCCTGTGTATATATGTCTGTGTGTGTGTGTATATATATATATATATATATATATATATATATATATATATGTATGTATATATATATGTGTGTGTATGTTGGGGCATGCCTTCTACACTCATCTGGACAGTTTACAACTCTGCCTTTCTCTTCACTTCCTGCCTGTGTGCAGATTGAAGATCAGCCAGAGGTATGATCTTATGGTCTTTACTGATCATGTACCCCAACCTGGGCATGCACATGGCTTTCTATATTCTCAGGAATTTGTGGAAGTGTCCACAGCCTTTATTGTCCAAAGCACCTCACTCTCCAGCTTTTCCTCCCAGGCATTTCTGCATGTCTATTATTTACCCAAACTAATGTTTTTGGCCCTGGTGACAGGTGCTGGTTCATTGGCATTTCAATATTTTTGACAAATGCCCTTTGTTTTACCTCCTTCTCTTCCCTCAGAGAGTTCTGAGTGAGGGGAAATAAAGACAAGTTATTCACCTTAATCTTCCAGATCATAAGACAAAATCACAATTCTTTGAGAGCAAGGTCCACTCTGATCCCTGTGGCACCAAAAACCCACACTAAAGACAAACTGCTGTCTTCAAGATCACAGCTAAGCTGGGGACCAGGACTAAGCGAAGATATCAGGGCTAAGTGAAGATACCACAAAGCTCTCCTACTGAGTTTCTGTTGCATTTTTCTGTTTTCAGCATTTTCTTGGAAGCTATAAGCATTGCTTGATTTTCTAGAGTTCTGATAAAGTTGATTCTGACACTTTTTGCTAGTTTTTTCATTGTTCTGTGTAAGGACCAGGCCCTTGAATTCCACTATGCCATCATTTTCTCTCATGTCATTGCCTTCAGCCTCTTTTCAGTTGTACTTATACATCACAATTCCTGGTCTTGTGAGGACTTCCAGGAAACTCATTCATTTGGTAAACATTTGATAAATACCTACTTTGTTCAGGGCACTGTGTATAAGGAGTGGAGTCTGAATCAAAAGAGTCAAGCTCTCTCAGTCCTCAAGGATGACTCAGCCTAGGTGCAGATGGAAAGATAGGGAAAGAAATTATAACACAACGTGTTAAGTATTTTATCTAATTTCTGTGCTTTGAACTTCAAATTATTAATATTTATATAGACAGTATTGATTTACATGTACCCATCATTATCAATTAATTTTTCTGCTTGCTTTCTTTCTTATCTGTATGAACTTGTGAATATATTTAGACTAAATAGTTTGCTAATAAATTAACACTTATATTGATATGAAAGTGTCATTTTTAGTCTTATACATGCAAGATAGATTTCCCAGTCCCAAATTCCCAGTGTGACATTGGTTTTCCCTTAGCCTTTGGAGACATTATTTCACTGCCTTCTGGCTGCCATTCCTGACAGGAAGAAGTCAGCTGCATTCTAACTGTAGTAGTTTCTTTATAGATGATTTTTTTTTTAGATCATCGTTTGTCTTTATTGTCTGATTTTCCTGTGAAATATGAATTAACGTGGATCTCTTTTTATCCATATTATTCTGTATGCATTTGCTTAATCCTTAGCCATAAACCCTTTACACAATCCCTCTCTCCAGTTATCCTTTTTCACCTTCTGGGACTTTAACTATACTAATACTAAACCTCTTCATTCAATCACCATATTGATGTAGTCAGATAATGGCCCCACAAATATGTCCAAACTCTAATTTCTGGAATCTGTGAATATGTTACCATGCACAGCTAAAGAGACATTGCAGATGTGATTAAAGTCATGAACCTTGGGATGAAGAGATTATCCTGATTTGGGGAGGAGGGGTTAATCTAATCACGTGGGTTCTTAAATGTGGCAGACACTGAAGAAGAAGTGTGAGTCAGATAGAGTGTTAAATTTCCTCTGTAGTACTTTCTAATCTACTAAGATATAATCATCCCTGTCTTTTTTTTTCTCTTGGTGAGGAAGATTGTCTCTGAGCTAACATTGTTACCTAACCCAGGTCTGTTTTTGCCTGTTGCCCAGAAAGCCAAACACTGAGATGACAAGATTGCAGCAGACAGAGGGTCTAATCACAAGGCACCCAAGGGAGGAAGCAAGAGAATGAGTCTCAAATCTGCTGTCCTGAAAATAGAAACTCAGGGATATTCATGGGGTAGGGGAGCAAGATGGTCTGAAATGTGGAGATATATGATTGGAAGTGAGGAGACATGAGGTAATTGATGATCTGTGCACATGTAGTCAGACTTCATGCCTCTTTGCAGGACACATGTTCACAAAATGGCAGCGTTAGCATGATCTGAGGGTGGAGTTTTTAGCCTCTTGATGTCAAAAGGTCACTTATCAGACATCTGTGCAGGCCCAGTTGATGGATTGGTGGTTTCAAGTGGCCTGAAGTGGACGAGGGGTTCTAATTCCTGAAAAACAGCTCAAACACCCATTACTATGATGAGCCAGGCTCCAGGGAGATGTTATCTATAGGAACCTAGTGGGAGTCAGATAGCATACTGCCTAAAGAGCACAGTTAACAATGGGTGGGTAAACAGCTATAATCAGTAATTACAAAAAACTTCAGTTCCTAGCTACTTAATCATCAATGGCTAACTGTTTGTTGGTTTCAATTCCCCCTATTCTTTGGCCATTCCTCATTCTTGAGGGATTCAGAGTGATGACCAATCTAGCTACTTCCTGCTGAATTGGGGTGTAGATCTGGGTTAGAGGAATGAAGCTGTTTAGCACTAATTTGGAAATATTCTCTTGTTTCCAGCTTCAGGCTGACATTTTGCATTATTAGAATTTTGTACCATGCTCAACAGTTTTGGAGCCACATCTAAAGGTACATTTTATAATAAAGTATCTGACCAGAAGTATAAGGAGTATAGACAACCCAAATTTAACAGTCTCTGAAAAATAGACCTAATCCCAGTGGGGCCTCCATTTGATCTCCAAGTAGGAGCAGACATCTGGTCTTAGTTCCTGATAGTCTTTTGTTTCACTGGATATGCATCAGAGACTGGAGCAGTGCCCTATACCCTGATCTTTCAGTTTTCATTCATGATGACTATCAACATAGACACTTCCCAGGGACCATCACATTCCTAAGGAACTGAAAAGAAGAACTTATCAACTTGTAGCAGCTGGGAGAGGCCATAAAATCTACAGAGCATGTCTGGTTAGTTAATCAGAGGTCATTCAAAGTTACAATATGGTTTCTCTTCTCCAATATGGCTTCCCTTATGTCACTCTTATTTTAAGCAGGTATCAACATCTGTGCCAATCTTCCTCTATTTTGTATGTAGGATGCCACCACACCATGGCTTGATGTGTGGTGCATAGGTCTGCACCCAGGATCTGAACCTGTTAACCCCAGACCACCAAACCAGGGCATGCAAACTTAACCACTGTGTCATGGGGCTGGCCCTCATCCTTATTTTTTCACTCTTTAATCAAGTGGTGAATTGCATTAAAAAATATAAAGATTAAATATCCTTGCATTTTTGGGATACCTAACCTGGTCAAGATATTTAATTGCTTTATAGTACATTGATGAACATAGTCTACTGTTTTTCTTAAGATTTTCATGTCTAATTTATTAAAGGTCATTTTTTTTTATAATGCTTTTTTCTTATCGTCCCCTAACTGGTTTTAGGATCACTGTTATTCATGCCTAATAAAACAAGTTGTTTGACTTTCCCATTCTCTTTCTTATTATCTATCCTTTCTCTTTGAATATTTGATATAAGATCAGGAACCTTCCTTGAAAGTTTGCTATAACTTACCTGTAAAACATTCTGGATATGGTTGAAAGAAAACAGAACTTTTACAACTGCTTTAACTTCTCTACTTGCAGGAAGTCTTTTCCATTGCCATAAATTTCTTCATAGTCTTAAGATTGTTTAAATCTCTCTTAGATCTGCAGTGACATATTTATCTGAGACAAATCTGCTTTGTTCATAATTCATTTTGCCTATTTCGTTTCTTTTTTTAAAGAAACAGCTGTTCTCTGCAGGCTGGGCAATCAGCAGTGGCAGATGCCAGATCAGCCTTGGTAAGTGGAAAGCCACATTGCTGTGCACATGCAGTTGCCATCCCAGTCATTGTGGGCACTTTGCACAGGACTCCATGAGATAGCTCTGTGGTGCTGAGGAGAAGCTGAGTGACACTCTCCATCAAGTCATCTCCCCTACTCAACTATAAGGAACCCCCACCACACAGATACCCTCTGCTGTACCACAGGCACACCAGTATCTTCAGCTGCTCTGCCACGGCAAGACGCCTAGGAACATAGTTCTCCTCCACCTCTCAATTTTCCAACCTTATTTTGCACAAGTGCCTAACCAGCCAGCCATCCCATTAACCCCTGCCCGTGAATCATTCATGCACTACTTAGGGGCATCACTTCACACTCTCCACCTCCCAGGGTCTTGTTTGGGTTTTGATTCCTAGTTCCTAGCTTGACAGCCATTCCCAAAGCTGTTCAGGTGTCAGCTCCCAGGCTTATTGCTTTTGCTTTAGATTCTCCTTTTTATATCTGAATCACAGGCATGTACTTCCTTGGATTTTTTTAAATTGCAGAGATTTTTTCAATTCAGCATTTCTAAGGGCTTTCAGTAAGAAGAAGTCAATGTTAGCTTGGAAAGAATTGTTTCAAAAATCCCAAAAAGTAAACTTTCGTGAAGGACATAGAGAGAGGTGGACAAATCATAAGTGTACAGTGGATTTTCACAAAGTGAACATTGGGATAAGCAACACCCACATCAAGAACATTTCCAGCATCCCAGGAAACCCTCTTGAATCCTATTCAGTCATAAACTAACCCCCATCCCCAAAGTAATCATTATCTTGATTTTTAACACCATAGATGCATTCTGTCAGATTTTGATAGAATGGAATTATACAGCAGATATCCTGCTGTATCTGGTTCTCCCATCCAATGTTATGTCATGGGGTCTCATCCCTATTGCTGTGTGTGTGTAGTTTATTCACTCTCATGGTTATAAGTTATTCCATTATATGAATAGACTACATTTCTCATCCTCTACTGTTCATGGGCATTTGTATTATGGCCAGATTTTACACATTGTGCTGCTATGAATAATTTTTTCATGTATTTGACACACACATGCTTCATGTCTATTGGGTATATAACTAGGAGTAAAAATGCTGAGTCATAGGGTGAGCAAATGTTTAGCTTTATTAGGGACCACCAAGGAAGTTTTCAAAGTCTTTGAATCAATTTTCTCTCCCCCTAGCAATATCTAAGAGATATAATTAGTCCAAATTCTTGCCAACAATTGACTTTGTCTGACTTTTTCATTTTAGTCATTCTGTGAGGTTTGCAGTGATACTACATTATGGTTTAATTTGAATTTCCCCCCTGACTAAAAATGTTGAGCAATTTTTCATGAATTTATTGGCCATGTAAATGTCCTGTTTTCTGAAACCCATATTCGAGAATATTGTTCATATTTCTATTACCTTGTCTATTACATTGTCTCTTGACTGATTTGTTCAGTTCCTAAACCCATGTGAGAAATAAGCTAAATACTTAAGCAGATTACAGTCTCAGAAAAATGTCTTTTCATCAAAATAGAAATATGAAAACCTTTATGAAAATTTGATTGTAATGCATTCAGCATCATTATTTTTAAAGTTGATGTATGTATGTATCAAAGATTTCCTCAACTGTAAGATAAAACGTAATCACAGTCATACAAACAATGAGGGAGGACTTTTCCCTCCTATTAAAATAATCACCAATTAATTAGTCTCCAAACAATCCTTGCAGAATCTGCTCCATTCCTCTGGACTTCAGAGTCAGCAATATTTGTGTTCAGATTCCCTATCCCCTAACTGAATGTTTGGTGAATGTGCGTAAGTTGCTCTATGTTTCTGATGTTCAGCAGCCTACACTGATCTCACAGGGCCCTTATGATGGTGGTTAGAGTTAAGGTAAACCATGAAGCACCTTGATTGATCCATAGTAGGAGCTCAGTCTGGGTGGTGGATGATAGGCTTAAGGAAAGAGCTATAATTATTATGATTATGAATGTTCCCAAAACATTCATCTTTCTTCAAATATGTCATGTACTTTCCTAGTTCTGGGCTATTTCATATGCTGGTTCCTTTGCCTGATCTCCTTTTTCTGACTTTGAGAAAAAAATCATCCTACATGTGTCAGGGAAAGGAATTACTCAGATGCTATGATAATGAACTTAGCCCCTAAGAATAGATAGTAGGAGAAAGCACTGGAGTAGAGACACATCTAAGTACAGAACTGGAAATTCTGCTTGTACTGGCATGATGTCTATCAAGAGCTCAGTACTTGCCATGCCCAGAGCCCCCTTCAGAGAAAAGTGCCCTATGATGGTTAATTTTATACGTCAACTTGGCTGGGCCACAGGATGTCCAGATATTTGGTCAAATGTTATTCAGGGTGTTTCTGGGAAGGTGTTTTTGGATGAGGTTAAAATTCAGATCAGTGAACTTTAAGTAAAGCAGATTACCCTCCATAATGTGAAAGGGCCTCGTTCAATCAGCTGAAGTGCAGAATAGAAGAAAAGGCTGTCTTTTTTTCCACCCCAAGGAAGAGGAATCCTCCAGGAATAGCTTTTGGACTTGAACTGGAACAACAGCTTCCTGGTTCTCCAATCTGACAACCTTCAAATAGCCCTCAAATGGAAACTGCAACATCAGCTCTTCCTAAGTCTCTACCCAACCAGCCTCCTTGTCTTAGTCCATTTGAGCTGCTGTAACAAAATACCACAGACCGTGTAGATTGCAAACAATAGAGGTTTGTTTCTCACAGTTCTGGAGGCTAGAAGTGCAAGATGAAGGCACCAGCATGGTTGCATTCTCTGCCGAGGGTCCTCTTCCTGGTTCATAGATAGAGGCTTCTTGCAGTGTCTTCACATGATGGAAGGAGATAGGGACCTCTCTGGAGCCTCCTTTTTAAGGCACTAATTCCATTTATGAGGGCTCCACCTCATGGCTTAAGCAAGTCCCAAAAGCCCCGCCTACTAATTCCATCACATTAGCCATTAGGATTTCAACTATGAATTTGTGGAGAACACAAACATTCAAACATAGCACCACCTTACAGATTTTGGACTTGCTACCCTCCAAAATAATGTGGCCAACTCCTCATAATAAATCTCTTTTATGTATTTATCATGTGTATATTATTAGTATGTATTAAATATACTCATTATAAATATAAATATAAACATAAACAAATGTATATATACCAAGAGTGTCGGTTCCTGAGGAACAGAATATTCTGAATTGACTCTGTGGTCTCTGGAATTGGCTCTCTAAACTAATGAGATATAAAGACACTCATGAGTCTATTTCCAGCAGGAAAGGCAGCAAGCACTGATACTCCATGACGTGATCTGAGAGTAAAGATATGCAAAATATCTCCATTGGATACTCCTAATCAATCACTTGTAAGAGGCAAGGATCTGGGTGACCACGTACATGATACTTCCAAACATTTTTCTTAAACTAACAAGTATGATGTTGGCTTGGTTGCTACTAATGTTGCTGGATGAACTGGGGAAAGAAAAGATGATCTCAGGGATTTTAATTCCCAGCTTAAGCACTATATGAATGACCTGAAAGCTTCTGTGTCTGCCCTGAAAGAGACTCATATCTCCTGTAGCTAAAAGGCTGACATTTCTGAAAACAAAACCCAGAATCTCATCCAGTGAGTGGCTGATTTACAATGCAAATTGTATTTCCAGCCTCTCAGGGTGTCTTCTCTTGAAGTGAGACCATTGATTGGGAAGTAATGGGATTCTGAAAGTTGGAACTGGGACATGTGGGAAGACCCTGATGAAGCTGGGGACACTGAGTCCCTAAATTCTGATAAATCTTCTTTGCCAGTGGAAGCAGCCTCTCCACAGCCATCTGAGGAAATTAACTCTGCATTGTCTGAGGAAACTGCAATTGCCTCCACTGAGGCATTTACCTCACAAGACACTCCTGATTCTTCTCAGGACCCCCGCTACCTCTCTTTGCTTTAGACTTATAACTAGACTCAGGCTCCAGCAAGACCTGAAGGTAAAGTACAAAGTGTGACCCATTGGAGGTGCACTACACTCCAAATGAACTACATGAGTTTTCTAATTTATACAGACAAAAATCTGAATAATGTGTATGGGAATGGATATTATGGGTGTAGGACAATGGTGGAAAGGACATAAAGTTGAATCAGGCCAAATTTTCTGATACGGGCCCACTAAGCTGAGATTCTGCATTTAATGTTGCAGCTCAAGTCAGAAAGAGTTCTAACAGTTTCTTTGGTTGGTTGGTAGAAACATGGACCAAAAGTTGATTCACAGTGAATGAGCTAGAAATGTTGGACCTGCCTTGGTTTACTATAGAGGAAGGATTTAAAGACTCAGAGAGATTGGAATGTTAGAGTGGATTTGTCATTTAAGATCTACCCACTCAGAGTGCAAACTGGTGCGGCCACTATGGAAAGCAGTATGGAGTATCCTCAGAAAACTAAGAATAGATCTACCATATGATCCAGCTATCCCACTGCTGGGTATTTATCCAAAGAACTTGAAAACGCAAAAGCATAAAGATACCTGCACCCCTATCTTCATTGCAGCATTATGCACAATAGCCAAGACTTGGAAGCAATCTAAGTGCCCATCAAGGGACGAATGGATAAAGAAAATATGGTATTTATACACAATGGAATACTACTCAGCCATAAAAAAATGATGAAATCTGGTGGCCATTTGTGACAACATGGATGGACCTTGAGGGTATTATGCTGAGTGAAATAAGTCAGAAGCAGAAAGTCAAATACCGTATGATCTCACTCATAAGTAGAAGATAAAAACAATAACAAACAAATACATAGCAACGGAGAATGGATTAGTGGTTACCATGGGGGAAGGGGGGAAGGGCAAAAGGGGTGATTAGGCTCACATGTGAGGGAATGGACTATAATTAGTTTTTGGGTGGTGAACATGATGTAATCTACACAGAATTAGAAATATATTATGATGTACATCCAAAAGCTATATAATGTTATAACCCAATGTTACTGCAATTAAAAATAAATAAGTAAAAATTAAAAAATAAAAAAACAAATATATATGCACACATGAAAAAAAAGGATCTACCCACTCACCCTGGGAGGGTTTGGAAGAAACAACTTTCATAACAAACAGTGAAAAACAATTTTGCAAGGGGAACCCCAGCATCCTTGAAAAGCCCTGGGATCTCTATTCTCTCTAAGCCAGGCCTTACCCTGGTAACTGTAGCCACTGAAATGGGAAACCTAAATGCAGTGAAAGTAATTGGATCCTAGTTGGCAGGGGCTAATTGGCACACTCAACTGCCAAAAGCAAGGTGGGTGTAGTTATCAGAATGGACAGCAGAACCAAAGCAGCAATCAGAACAGTCTGACTCTTGGATACCTACGGCGTTGCCTAGTTGATCACGGTGTTCCTAAAATGGATAGATAGGAAGCCAACTAAATTCTTAATTGATCTGTATAAATAGAAAATTTCAGGTCCAGTGAACAAAGTCTAACTTCAATCAGAAACAGAGTCATGGCCTTTCGTTCAATTCCCAGACTTGATCCAGTTTATAGGCCCAGAACCCCTTGAATGAAGGGGAGTCTGGGTCAACAACAACAAGCATAATCCTGTGTAGAAACAAAGAAACAACAAATAAACACTCCAAAAACAGGGGCTGAGGGCTGGACCCTGGTCTGAGCCTCAGCTGACTCAGCCACACGAAGCCCTTAGTGGTCAAGGCCCAGGTGATGTCTAAGTCCCTGTGGTCACAGGTCTAGGTGGGACAAGGTTCTACTGAACAGGATAAAGGAGCAAAGAAGATGACCCGGCTGAGGAGTGACCACACCAAAGCCCACGACATGCTGGGCACTGAATAGGCACACTAAGAGCCTTGTCCTGTCTCTACCTGCAACAGACTTAGCACAGCAAACTGGCAGATTCTGGAAGGTTTTCAGTACTTCCTTTTATTTCCTCTTTCAAATTTTAGGAATCTTTTCCTTTAATTAAGCCATCAATATCTCATGGCAAAATTTTTAAAAAGAAAATTCATATCCAGATTCTTGTTTTCAATAACAAAGTAAGAAGTTGCAGCTCAGTGCAACAAGAAGGTAAGACAGGAATGGAACCAGCCCAGCCCCACCTCTGCTGGAAAAAGAAAGTTGATCAGAGAAGAGAATACAGGTTAGCGCGGGTATAAGGTCATGGGGGAGACCAGTCTCCCCACCTCTCACATTATGCTAACAGGAACACAGACACGTTCAGACATGCTTTGCAGAAAGCAGAGTCAGAGATTCCTCAAGTCACAATGTGGGGTCAGATGTGAACAAATATTGCATCACTCAGTCCCCCACAAAGCAGCTGTTTCACACTATAAAAAAAAAATCGTGAACAAATTCAGATACTGAACAAAGGTCAGACACTGTTAAGTGGTGAATTCTAAACAGCCCCCCACATGCTCTTTAGTCCAGGTCAAGAGTCATCATATCCCCCAGGGTTACCCTGAGTCTCCAGGTCCAAGCATCAGCCGTAGGTCCGCCAACAAGACCCTGGATCCAGGAAGAGTCCGGAGATTCACTTGGGTTTTGCCATGGGTTTATACTGAAAAGACCCAGGCCCATCTTGCTCACCAGCCTCACTCTGGTTATAGTGCGTGTGCCGAATGGTCAGACGCCCACAGAAAGTCAGTGCAGTGTCCTTGTAGATCTGCCTGTTCCACTACCAATACTCTGATCCCTCCTGTTCCATCCATGGTGCCTGCGGCTCCTCCCACAGCCTCATGGGGTCCCTGTTGAACTGCTGGAACTACGTGTTGTCTACGTAGCTGAGGACAATGAAGCGGGCTCCCCGTGGACAGGATTGGACATGGTAGCGTAGAAATACCTCACGGAGTTGGAGCCTGGGGGTGGGGAGGTGCTGCTATCAGGCCCCACCCTCCTCCTGACACAGGTTCCCAAGTCTGAGGTTGATGGGGCTGGAGGTGGGGTGGTAGATGAGTGGTTTGTGAGACAGAAAAGGGGCAGCAGGAGACCCCAGTGGGTGAAAGGAGTGGGCAGCAGGCTGGGAAGGGACAGAAAAGGGGTCAGAACAGTCGGGGCCAGGGTTGTTGAGGGGCCGGGTCTCGGGCATTGGAGATGAGCCTTCCCCGGGGTTCCTGTGCCCTTGCTACGTGGTCCCCTTGCTCCACCCGGCAAAGGCTGTTTGCTCCAGAACCCTCACTCACCCACCCATATAGTGGTCAGGGCAGGCCTCCAAGAGCACCAGTGTCACAGACTAGTTGCCCTAAGGAAGTCAAGGGTGGGTTTGAAAGCATTTAACTTTTTCCAAATTGATTTTTCCTTTTGCTATGTTAAGGAGATGCAGTCGCTGACCACCCTAAACCAGAACAAGCCTCACCTCAAGAGCTACGGCTATGATCTTTGCCTTATTTCTAATGCTAAGATCTCTCCAGGAGGAGCTTAGACCTTATTACCATAACCTGCAGTGTAATCGAAGTATGTTTTCCAACTGAACCTGCGCAAGCAAATACCCACTTCTCCCTTTTGAATATTCATTCCTCATCTGAAATAAAAAGCTCCCTGCTTCCCTCATTTCGGGGATGCTATGACTTTGGAAATGATTCTGCATGGTCTCTTATTTGCTGCAGATGTACGTTACTTTGTGAGACAACTGCTTCTGGTGGAGAGTCTGATATTGTCCTCCATTTTCACATATGCTTTACTAAAGAGCCTGTGTATTAGTTTTCTTTTGTTGCATAAAACCAAAGACATAGTGGCTTAAAACAATACCCATCTATATGCTCACAGTTCTGTAGGTCAGAAGTTCAGGCATGGTGTGGAGGAGTGTTCTGCTCAGTGTTTCAACAGGCTGTGTTTGCAACCAGAGCTCAAGGTCCTCTGGTTGGTTTGCAACCAAGCTCATACAGAGCTGTTGGCAGAATTCTGTTTCCTGTAGTTGTACGACTGAGGTCCCCATTTCATCGTTCGATGTCAGTGGGATGCTGATCCCAGTACCTACGGTCTCCAGGACTTCTTGCCATGTGGCCTCCTCCATTTTCAATGCCTCCCCCATTCCTTCACATGGAATCCTTCTCACTCTTCCAATCTCTTTCCTCAGGGAGAATATAGTTCTATTAAAGAGTCACCTGAGTAGGTCAGGATTACCCAGGATAATCCCTTTGTTTTAAATTCAACTGATATGTACCTTAATTACACGTGCAAAATCCCTTCACAGCAGTACCTGATTAGTGTTTGATTAAATGATTGGGAGAAGGGGAATAACCAGCAGTTGGTTATTGCAGGCCGTCTTAGAATCAGCCTAGCATGGCCAGGTTCTTCCTTTTGTGTTTAATTTGATCACAGTTGGAAACTGAAGTTCAAATATAGATTTTATGGAAATTCTTCTTACATCTTAAAACCAAATGATACATTTAACATCTCACAGTTAATTTAGAGGAAATCAAAATTAAACTACAATAATTCATTCTCTTCTTTGGACCCTGTATTAGTTATGTCTGGCTGCATAACAAATTACCCAAAACTTAACCATTAGAAACAACAAATGTTTATTGTCTCCCACTCTTTCCCAGAGTCAGAAATCCAAGAGAGGCTTCCCTGAATGCTTCTGGCTCATGGTCTCTGTCAAGGTTGCCGTCAAGTTATCAGCCAGGGCTGCTGCATCTGATGGTTGACTGGGGCTGGGAGATTCACATAAAACATGGCTTACTCCTATGGCTTTGGAAGGGGCTTCATTTCCTTCCTGGATGATTCCAGGGGGCCTCAGTTCCTAGCCACGTGGACTTTTCCATAAGGTGGCTAATGACTAGGTAGCCAACTTCTCCCACAGCAAGTCACCCAAGAGAGAGAGCAACGAAGATGGAAGCCACAATCTGTTTTATGTCCTAGACACAGAGTCACACACCATTACCTCAGCCTTACTCTGTCAGTTACCAGGGAGTCATTAAGTGCAGCCCACACTCAAGAGGAGGGAATTAAGCTCCACCAGTGGAAGGGGTAGTATAAAAGAATTTACATACATGTTAAAACCAAAATTAAATTAAATATTGTCTCAAGATTTAGGAAATCAAATGCTTCTTTTATCTGATTATTTTTCTTAAATGCTTTAAATTTCTCTTTTGAAAAGTAGTGGTTGGGGTGCCACCCCGTGGCCAACCAGTTAAGTTCACGTGCTCTGCTTTGGTGGCTGGGGGTTTCACTGGTTCAGATCCTGGGCGTGGACATGACACCGCTCAGCAGGCCATGCTGAGGTGGCGTCCCACATAGCACAGCCAGAGGCACTCACAACTAGAATATACAGCTGTGTACTCGGGGGCTTTGGGAAGAAGAAGAAAAAAAGAGATTTGCAACTGTTGTTAGCACAGGTGTCACTCTTAAAAAAAAAAGAAAAAAGAAAAGTAACGGTTAAAAGTTTGAGACAGAGAAAGGAGAGACAAAAGTATTTGTAAGATTTTTTTGCAAGTTGAGAATATATAGTAGCTAGATCAAGCAGTTCTAAGACATGTGTACCATAATAACAATGCCTTTAAAATAATAACTACCTTTGTTTTTCCTTAGAGGTTTCAAATTTAGTTTTGTAAAAATGTCCAAAGTATTGGCTAAAATGCCAATTTTCTTACTCAATCTCATCTTCAAAAGTATTTATCTAATGAAATTGCTTTTCAGTTAGAAAAATGTGAATCTCATACCTCAGTCTATACACCTAGCTTAGCATCATGACAATAATTTTGGTGGGATACAGTAGGCAGAAATGGTTAACTCTAATCTAGAAACAAATTTTTCCAAAGCTGTTCAGTTGACATCCTATAACAAATTTAACATTTTTCACTGTGTTTTGGAATAAGATTTGGTAGAAGTAGTTTGTACAGCAACGTGATTCTAAAAAGCACTGTTATTATATGCCTCTAACGTGTTTTTTAAGGAGCTCTCTTGTGTCTTCCGTTCACACTTTCTATTCTATCACTGGTTATACCTTTAAAATGTTTTTAAGTCTAATTTATGTTGATCGGCAATGTGCTTTTCTACTTCTGTAAAAGTAGTTAATTCAGTTCCATGTGAGGTTAAATGTAAATGAAACATCAAATCCTGCTCAAGATAGAATTACCTTGCACATCAGATTGAACACTGTATACCAGAAAATCTTCAACACGCCAGTGAGCAAAAGATCCAATGGCCATTTCTAGACAGTGCTATTTTTTATGGCACACAGGGCCTGTCTGTCACTTGACTCAACACTGGCTGTGGCTTTGTTCCAATGTGGGTAGTTCTTGCTAATGATTCCTGCAATGAACTGTAGTATTTTCTTTTCTCTTTCCTTTTTTAAAAATTAACCAGGAATTGTTCACAAGCTACAGTTTGAAAAAATGCCAGTTTACAGAGTTATGATCAAGTAAATACCTGGGCACCCACCACTGGTGTAAGAAAGAGAAGGTATGAAGCCACTGTGGGCGCTTCCCCAATCCCCCAGATATAACCTCTATTCTGAGTCTTGTGTTTACTATTCCTTGAGTTACTCTAAAAATTTCACAGTAAGTGTATATATCCCCAAACAAAATAGTGTTTAGTTTTGCCTGTTTTTGAACTTCCTGTAGGGTGAACTCGTACTGCATGGATTCTTCTGTGACTCAGCTTTATGGAGGAGAGTTATCCCCCATTCGTGAGGCTGTCGTTCATTTATTTTTACCGCGCAATCTTACATTTTATGATTATACCACAATGTTGCTGTTGATGCATATGTGGTTGGTCCACTTTTTGCTGTCGACATTAGTGTACCTGTCTCCTGGGGCACATAGGAAAGAAATTCCCCAGTGTATGATCAGGAATAGGATTGCTGGATTATATGAGGTGTGTACTTTAACCATACCAGATAATGCTAATTTGATTTCCAAAGTGCTTGTACCAATTTAAACTTCTACCAGGAATATGTAAGTGTTCATGTTGCTGATGTGATTGTTCTGAAAATAAAAAGCTCAGCTGAAGGGGAGGAATTAAGAGCTGAAAGCCATGGCCCCAGCTCCAGCATCACCCAGGCATTTTTTCAGATTCTGTTGATAACTTTATTTACTTCTATTCCATATACACTGGCATTATACTTTCAGCATATAGGTCCAGAGAATGCTTCTTTTAGCATAACCACATAGTGTCATTTTAAAGGTTTGGATTCTTCCACAATAAAAAGAAAAAAGGGAGGCAGAGAGAGAGGGAAGCAGAAAAGACAAAAGAAAATAAAAGAGAACAGGAGAGGAATTGTAAACAGTGAGGAGAAAGAACATTTCCAAGTGCAAATAAATACAGGAGATGTAGACAAATAGAAAGTTAAGAAAGGGTTATTAGTTTTCTTTGTCATATAATAAATTACCCTAAAACTTCGTGGCTTAAAACAACAAACAACTAGTACCTCAAAGAGAGACTAAAAAGATGAGCAAAATTAAATAGATGCTGGTGGGAGAAGTTGGATGAAGAGAAGCATTTTACAATTCGAATAAGTAATGAGTCATTGGTATACAGGTATACGGTTAGTCCAAGTCCTCCATGAAGGAGACACCAAAATGGGATTAAACTCAGCAGTATTTTATCAGGGGACACATCCACCAGAGAATATGTAGAGGGAGACAGAAAATGCTGGGAGAGGCAGCAGACGAGATATAAGTCTGATCCCAATTGATAGACAGAAGGAGAGAATGTTCATTGGACTATCCTAAACCACCAGGCAATCTAAGTGAATTGAGCAAGGCTGTGGAAAGTCCTAAAGCCACATTCAGTCATCAGAGGAGGCCCACGTCTCCCAGGAATGGCCTGCCTTAGTGTCCCTGCTGTGAACAATCATTGTCTGGGAACAG